TACTGTGTGAAATTTTGCATCAGAAGGATCAATTCATAATAAATTTTAATAAAATAATAACAAAGCAAAAACTTTTATTTGTTTTTAATTTACCTTTCTCGTGCCAAACAATCAAATTTATATAATTTCGTCGAAACACAGTCCTGAGCAGAAATAAATAGCGAAATAACGCGATATTGACATTCTCTTTCATTTAAAATAGTGAATTAGACAGTAATAGTTAAACGTTTTCGGAAGATAACACTGACGAGGTTTTAATATATTTATTTACAGTAAAGTTATTAAAAAGTTGTCTTTAGTGATAAACTTAGTAACTTCAAAATATTATAATGATAAAGAGTTTAAGTAATTTATTCTAAAAGTATACGTGTAGGTACCCAATTTGTTAGCAACCTGCATACAGTTTTAAATATTTATCTATTTTTTTACTTTTCTCAACAATATAACTGTGATATTTCTTGGTTTTGTTCTTGCATTTTCACAAGACCACCTAATTGTATCAAGACCGACCCTGCAAGATTTGAGCGAGAGCAAGACTGAGCCTGCAAAATTTTCTTGCGTCTTGTATTTACGTCACACTCAGACATGGGCCTTAGATATTGATGCAATATCGATATTGAAAGACGTTTCCTAATATCGATGTCGAAACCATGGTTTCTTCTAACAACAAAGTTTTTTGGTCATTTTGAAAAAAGTAGTATTTTACTTACATAAAATAATGTGAACGTATGATAAAAGAGCAGCAAAAAACAAAAAGCACGATCGAAATCACAATCAAAATACTAACTCGAGCGGATCATACCTTGTTTCTATAAGAGACGCTAACTAGTAGACATTATTTGTTAATCTTATGTGTGGCCTTAGCGCAAACATAATTATACCCTAATTAATAATTTTGTATTTTACCAAAAACTATATAATTAAATTATATAATAATATTCTATAGCTGATTTTTCGTTGTTGCTCTTTACTATGCCAATTTCAATAGTGTACTCTGTTGCGTCGTCCTAAAATTTGAAGTGTAAAAGTGAAGTAGCAGTAGGTAAATTGCAAAATTTACGAGACTCTTGTAGCAAGACCGAGACCAAGCACTAGACTGAGTAGGTAAGTCTTGCGTTGGGCAACACCAGTAAAATCCAAGTACTACCTAAACTAAAGTAACAATTATGTTTACTTTAATTTACTGATGAACTAGACTCGCGGCCTGTATTTCAGGACACCTGGACTTCTCCCCGTGGGAGTAACATTTGTACTTGTAATTTTTAACTTTATAAACAAAAATTACTCTATAACTAATGCAGTAACATAAGAAATTATTTTTATTAGAAATTATTTTACGAATACTTCGTCGACAGTTACGTATGACAGCACCGGGTCCTTAGGGGCATTATGCACCAAAATGGAGACGAGAGGGTATGGCCAAGGCTTCGTCACTCGCTCAAGGTTACGCGATAAGTGCCTATCGGTGCACCGACGTCGGCACAAGCGCTCATACAAGTCTTTTATTTATAAGCATTTGGCTCCGCACGGCTGCACACGACGGGCGACGTTATTTTCACCTCTCTGAGCGCGTGTTTGAGTTCCTTTTTCATTGTAATGAGCGTCTGATGTCATTAGTCTGATTTAGTAAGCAATTATAGCGTAAGTATTTTCAATTTTGTATGAGAATAATGTATACGTACTAACTCTTAAGTAATCTGTGGTACGGCGATAACTAAGCGTATTGTTATGCAACGTAATATACTTTGACTGCGACGTATACATCTATTGTTCGAACCCAATCACGCGTCCCCTTCCACCGGGCACATACATAAGGCTTTGTGCAGCATTAAATACCTGAATGACCGCTAACAGTGTGGTATTGCCAACACTGAAGTTTTGTCATTAAATACGGGAAAGTAATCACTATGATAGTTTCTTAAATAAAACATTTACAAATTTAATTTGGCAGATAATTTTTATTTAATGGCGAGTAAAATAAAATAATGTTAATATCAATTAAACTATAAGAGTTTGGTGGTATAGTGCTATATACTTTCTGCTCTTTCAAGGCCTAAAGGCCTAGTTAGCTAAACAAATAAGTCAACTTGTTTTTTATAATCCAGCGCTTTGTTTTTCTAGCGGATATTAATCTGACACGAATGTTTGTAACATCGTTTTAGTACTGTTGCAGCCATAGATATATATCTAGATAGACGCCGCAAGTACAGCAATTTGTATGAAAACCGAGCGTGCCACATTTTATGTATCCACCATGTCGTCACAAGAACTATTTAGTGATGGGAAACCTTCCTCGCTAAATCGATTGATTGAACGGAATACACGTACCTATTCCATTCAATTAATCGATTCAAGTATTCGTTGATTACAAGTAGTCGTGAAATATTAATATAATAGAAAAATACCAAAACAATATAGTTATGTCCTTTATTAAAAGTTGTTTTAAAAAATTTTGATTACTTAAAACTTTAATTTTTAATCAACTTCAAATATTAAAATTATTGTCCTTGAAATAATATAAGCTTATTATACAACTGTCTTTTTGTAATAGAAGATCTTATCGATTGACTTAAATAATGAAAACGCACGTCAATAGGTATATGGACTTGCAACTGCCTTAATTAAATTTAGTCAATGGTTTTCTGTTGGTAATTGATCAAATTGGTGAATGGCAAGACAATTGAAAATATTACTGCTGACAAAATAGGTTTACTTAATGTCGGTCTCATGTAAAATTTTTGTGCTTTGATCATGATTTCTAAGATTTCTAACTCTGCTACTCTGCATATTTAGATAGCATCTTTGGTGGGATAAATTAGACCACCTTCGTCCTTGTTCTGAAGCGTAGAAGCGACAACTAAGTGTTTTTCGATCAATTGATTGAACGGATTACGCGCAAACACGCGTATTCCATTCAATTAATCGGTTCTAAATAGAATAATTTTTGTTCAAGTATTTATTGATTTGTAGTTGATTACAATGTCGTAATATTAATATAGTAGAAAAATACTAGAATAAGACAGTTTAGTCCTTTATTTTACTTTAAAAAAATTCAGACTTTACTTTTTAATCACTTCAAAACAATTCCAGTACAATTAGCTTGTATAACATCTATATAACATCTTTTTGTAATACAAGATCTTATCGATTAACTTAAATAATGAAAACGCACCTTAATATATGAACTTGCGACTGTCTTGATTAATTTTACTAGAAGGTTTTCTGTTGGTAATTGATAAATTGATGAATGGCAAGGCAAATGAAAATGTTACTGCTGACAAAATATGGTAAAATCTTATTAATTAGAAGAGGTTTACTTAATGATCGCCTCGTGTGAAATTTTTGTTATTTGTTTATTATTTCTCGGATCTCTAACTCTGCTACTGTGCATATTAGGATAGCATCTTAGGTGGGATAAACTAGACCACCTTCGTCCTCGAAAGCAACGATCTCATACGTATGACCAACTCCAGGTTTTTGTTAAGACAGCGCACTGTTAATTCCTTGCATTATATATTTTTTTGTATTATTCGTAATAATTAAATAATAGTAATAATTAATATATAATTTCGAGTTCTTAGGTTTTCGCGATTGTTACACATAGGAAATGAAACTATTTTTCCGGATTTAAATCGCGTATATTTGTTTTTTCAAACAAACAGACGTTTCGGGCCCTTTACAGGTCCCATGGGACCATGGAACCGTGACCAACCAACGCACTTTTGCATGTATTAAGCAAAAGTGCGTTGGTTCGATATTAATGGCGTATTAACAAAGGATCACAAATATATCGCACCAAGTAAAAAATGTATTACAAATCATGAGGCATACACTGGGTTACATATTTCTTTCCTCAAAATTCATACAAATCCAAAAGAATTGTTTTTAAAATAAATTATGCATCTTCTTATTACAAAATCACTTGCCCGTGGAAGGGAACGTCCCTGTTTACCCGTTTACCCACAGTTATGTTGCTTTTGCAGCTTATAATGGCACAATTATGCATTTTTCGCGTTCTCGACTGGTGTTTATCTACGATAACGGTCGAGCGCGTTCTGACGTGTAGCAGCGGCAAGTAAGTGAATTTCACTTACTTTGGGCACGCGAAGTACGTACACTTGTGGCGTCTATCTAGATATATGTCTGTGGTTGCAGCATTATAATGATCAACCAGATAATCGCACCCATTGCCTAGTCTCAAACTAGGCAATTCCCTTTGTTATAAGACTGAGATTATTTATGCCCTTCGTTATAAGTGAGACAACGAACTTTCAGTTCGATCATCAAACATGGGGAGCTAAGCAAATTTTATGTAACTTCAAAACTTTGAATCCAGCCGGATCGAGAGAATTTTTCTTAGTGTTCGATCTTTGTATTAAAAATTATAACTAGTGCAGTAATTTCACAAAAAACAGTGGAATATCATGGCAGTAAAACATCGTGATACTCTATAAACTTAATATTACAATTAAAAGGCGACATCTCTCGTCAGTCTCTGGTCGTAGGTACCTGACTGAGTGAATAAACACTTTCATAGATTTCTCACAGATGGCGCTATGGCAAAAAGTCGTTAAAAACCAAAAATAAAGATCTTCAATAAGCGCATACAAAAATTCATAAGATCTGCTGGTTCGTTTCGTGGCTCAGTAGGGAGAGGGGTCAGCACAACATGCTCAAAGCGCTGGTTCGAATACAACTGGATCGAAGGATTTTCTCTTAATGTTCGATCTTTGTTTTAATAATTTAATTTAATTTCTTGCTTAAGTTTAGGCAAGTTAATTTTGTAAATACGTGAAACTTCCCTAGCTCGTCATTTTTGCTTAGGCGAAGTCAAAGTTCGTTTCATAAGTCTCAACCTGAGTACCAGACTAAAAAAATACTTAGTAAGGCTACCTAGTCATATTTTTTAAAATCCCAAAGGATCGGGAATCGGTGAATGACTAAATCCATCGAAGGTCGTCAAAGTGTCCTTATTAATTGATTAATAAATTCTCTACCAGATCGCCGCTGCACTTGGAAAAGATTCCTTGGCAACAGAAGCGGGACTCCTCAACATTCAGCCGCGTCCACGGAAACAGAACTGCCACCGATTGACACCAGGGATCTGTGGCTACAAGACTCAAGGTAATACAATAAGATTCAAGGTACTACAGCGGCACCGCAATGGCTGGATTCTGAATGACACATTGAAAAGTGAGCTTTAAGTGTAGCTTTGCATAGTACACATTAGACGACACAGAAGAAGTAAACAAAGAAAACGAAACACAGTGCACTATAATTACAGCTGCACTACCCATTTGTATTTTTCGTATTGTTAAACAAAATAAAGTTCATTCTTGAAAGTCATAGACTGAGATTTATAGAACGAACTTTGACTTCGACTTCGCAGAAACATCTTAGTAACCGTAGAGCCCTTTATGTTAAAGTTCGTCCAGGAGAGTACTGCCACCTATTTCTGCCGTCAAGCAGTAACGTGAACATGCGTTGCGGTTTTGAAGGGTAAAGTTGCTAGTGAAATTACAATTTACTTGGAACTTGTCAACTTATGTCTCAGGGTGTTGAGCGCAGTGACCGTGCCCTTCAGATCTTTACGGTTTAAAGCTCTTAGCAGTACAACTGTTATGGACGTGTTGCTTACCATAATAAACATTTTTAAAAAAGGGAGTTAAGCAAAATTGTCATAGCAAAACGAACTCAACCTAAATTTAAGCAATAAATTTAATTAAACTTTAAATTTTCTTCGTAATTTTTTGCTTAAACTTATGCAAAGTTCGTTTTATAAATAAAAAAAAACTAATAATTCGCCATCTTTAGTCGAAGTCAAAGTTCGTTTTATAAATCTCAAGACTAGGCGATGACTTCATTATCGTACTCTGCGCTTCAAGTATACATCCTTACTATTTATGATTGTGTAATAGAGTGTAGATAATTTTGAGCCTTCCGATTCACCGTCGATACAACGCACAGCACATATTTTGTACTTTACTAAGTCCTGTTGTTAGTGGATATTATCATTCCCTTTATAACAAATGAACATACTACGTACGTAATACTGTTATTAACTCATTTTTGTTCGGTATGCTATTTTGTACATCGTGAATTTAAATAATTCATTTTAACCAAAATTGTAACTTACGTTCTTTAATCTCGTAAGGGGCGGACTTGTTATCTTATGTCTCAGGGTGACGGACGTAGTAGCCGTGCTTCTTAGATCTTTGTGAATTAAAGATTTGAGTGGCACTGCAAGTGTCATGGACAGGCGTGTCGCTTTCTACCAGGCGCACGACTTGTTCACCCCTTCAAGTGGTATCATAAAAAAAATGTTAAAATCTATAACGTGATCTGGAACTTAATGTTATTCTTTTTTTTCATTTTTAACTTATTTTGTCGATTTTATCCTACCTAATATTTGACCTCCTTGGCATACTATCCACTAATTACTAAGATAACTTAGAAGTATATTTATAGTTTCGAGTACTTAGGTTTTTACGATTATTACACATCGGAAATGAAACTATTGTATCGCGTATAATTGTTTTTATTTTCAAACAAATCAACGGATGGTATCTCAGTCAGCCGTGACCATGGCACCTGTAAAAGGCCCAAAATGTTCTCTGTTTGAAAAAAGAAACACAAGCTATTTATATATGCGAAAAAAATAGATTCATTTCCAATATACTCAAAGTTGTTTTAACTTGCACCATTTCATGATACCCGGGTCAACTGTTGGCTACTTTATTGCATGTAGATGTTAACCTACATCGAATATAATTAACGCTGAATGCTTATAATGTTACACGCCGTTAGCATTATTATTGCATGTTTAACTATTAATTTCGTTATGCATGAATTACATTGCGGCATGTGCCATTAGCTGGAGAAGCTGTTCTAGGAGGCGTGCCCACGGCCCGTGATGTCAAATGCGTCGATTCGTACGAGCTCGCGAAACGGGCGAGCCCGGACGGCCTCGGGCCGACACGCGTGACGGCGCGTATTTGGATTTGTATCGAGAGCAAAGGCCGCATGGGCTCTCGCGGTGCGCCTTTGAAGTAACCGACCAGCGGCGTATCCAAACAGGCCGCCACGGGCGAGCTCTCTTTCGCGAGACGGGCCACGAGCCGTGGGAAACCGCATTTAAGGCTTGTGCGCATTCGCGACTGCGATGCGGCTTAGGAATTTACGTCAATGTATAGTAGATGAAATATACTTTACTTTAATTAGGTTTTGTTGTCGGACTGTGGTAAAGCTGCAAAAATTGTCACTGTCTACGACACCCCGAGAGCTAGTAGTTTAGTAGCAGTAGAGCTCCTTGTGTAAAAGTTCTTCCAGGGAAGAAGCCACCTTACCTTCTACCGCCAAGCTGTAATGCGAGCATTACAGTGTTCCGGTTGTGACGGGAGCACCCTTAGGTGCTGGTGAAATAACAGGCGTATGGGATTTGTTAACTTATGTGTCATGGTAACGGGCGCAGTGTCAGTACCCTCCACATCTTTGCAATTTGAAGCTCTTGCAGTACTGCAACTGCTGTTCATCCTGTCACTTGGTATTATGTAAAAAACTACGTCATCGCATTAGGGTTGTGAAGGGTATGAGCGAATGTGTCACCAATTCGTCTGTTTGCAAAAGACACGCGAGCTTCACAAGTGAATTACGTACTGCAATCTGTTCGCGTACCGGAATGCATCGAAGAAAACTCTTTACCTCTTTGTTCCCTTTTTCTCTGTTTATGAGCCCTAACACAAGGTAGCTGCTGTGCTCAGTTAAGGAGTTCCTCTCATCTGTCTGCCATTTCCATCTTCAGATCAGCTCAACTCACCATGGTATTCTATTTTAATTGGAATCAAATTAGTTTTTTTTAATATAATATCAAGTGACGGGACGAATAAGTCGTGCACCTGATGGTAAGCCACACGGCTGTCCATGACAGTTGCATTGCCACTCAGACCTTTAAATCGCAAAGATCTGAGAGGCATTTCCACTGCGCCCGTCACCCTGAGACATAGGTTGACAAGTTCCATGTGCCTATAATTTCAAAAGCACCCTTACCTTTTTAAACGGGAAGGCAGTAATGCTAACATTAAAATAGTTGAAATTCAGTCAATCACATTCATCCCCTAATTTTCCACCCTTGGAGGTAAAATATTTTTTACATTTGAATGGAACCACTATTGAGGTAACCTCTATCTAACAAAAAAAAAGAATTATTGAAATCGGTTCAGAAATGTGGGAGTGATCGGGTAACCTACACACACAAAAAAAATACGGTTCAATTGTGAACCTCCTCCTTTTATGAAGTCGGTTAAAAATACATTTGTCCAAACAATTAACACAAGTCACGCAAGTCCCGTTCAAAATTCATTTCTTGAAAACATTAAGTATATTAAAACAAATGATATACAATATTTTCGTATTCACATTACGAAGAATGTTATTAGAGAATTCTAGAAGTAAACAAATAAGTCCGTTGTACCAGTCATTTAGTATTAAATGTATAAACAACGAAAATTGCTTTTTAACGATGTAATAACAAATAATACAAATAATACTTTAAATATTCGCCGAAAAATCTTTGACATAGCGTACATTCTAAAAATTTTATACGATAATATTGACTGCTTTGACCAGTAGTATCACAGGCTTTGACGTCCTGGGTGATTTTTCGTTTAATGTACCTACCGTTCTATGAGACCCTATCACCCTATTGCAGTTACCTTAGCGACAGCTATAGGTGAAAACCTATAATTGGCTTCATATTTATTTTCCTGTACTAATTAAATATAAGAAGCTGTTGATTTTCCATGAATAATGAAATTATAATAATTATATAATACGATCACAAATAAAAGGCGCTTAAATAATTGCAAGAGAATAAATAAATTTACTATTTGGGATATTTTTTAAGAAATTAAATATATAATTACAAAACATCAAATAACATTTATTTATTTAAATCGCTTGATGTAATATACTGTACTTTACATTCAAGACTGCGAGTAATCTTAATACGTGCTGTCTTAATTAACATACGAACACAAATACAATACAAAATACTTCTTTGTAATGTATATTTCTTCTTCTTCTTTCGTCTTTAATGTTTTTAATAGCATACTTTTTGTGTCAATAATAATAACTATCCAGTGGAATATTTTCACAAAAAAAGTTATAATATCATGGAAGTAAAAATAAAATGATTTTCAATACACAAATATTGCATTTAATGCAGCGTCATCTCTCGTCAGCTTCTGGTAACTTCAAAGCCTCGCAGCTGAGTGAAGAAACATCATAATTTTCTTGCAACACAACAACAAAAGATACTGGTTCAAGTCCAGTCAGAGCTAAGGATTTTTCGTTGTGTTGTTCGATTATGTATAAATTATAATAAAAACATACTTTGCGTATTATATAATATTTTGCAGTAGTAAAGCTCTTTGTACTGCCACCTTACCTATTTCTGCCGTCATGTAGTAATGTGAGCATTACTGCGTTCTGGTTAGGGTGCTCGTGAAATTACAGGCACAACCGACATGTCAACTTATATCTCAAGGTGACGGGGCAGTGGCAGTGCCCCCAGATCTTTGAGAGTTATAGTTCTCAGTGGCACTACAACTGTCATGGACAGGGTATAGCTTACCACCAGCCACACGACTTGTTCGTCCCGTATCTTGATATCGTAAATAATTATAAGGTTTTCATAAAAAAAACCGACTTTTAAAGTTCGTGTAATTACATCTACGTGCCAAGTTTTATTGAAATCCGTTACCGGAACGTGCGTGAAACCGCATTCATCCCATAGTTTGCCACACTTAGAGGTAGAATATGTTCTTCAAATTTAAATGAGACCAATGCTGAAGTACCCTCTTCCCAACAAAAAAAGAATTATAAAAATCGGAGCTGAATTACAAAAACTGTAGTAATCACGTTACGTACACACAACAAACGAATCTCCTCCCTTTTTTCGATCAAAAAAAACAAAACACGGTATTATTTAAAATAGAAAACACTTGCAAACCGGTTTTCATGGTGTCGCCATCTCTGAGATCTCGGGTTCGATCCCCGGCCGTGTCAGCGTAGAAAACGAACTTTATGTCGTCTCCGGTCTGGGTGTTTGTGGTACCATCTTTGTTTCTGAGTTCCATATTACAAGTGCTATAGTTACTTACTTTGGGATCAAAGAAATGTATTTTAAACTCAAAAAAGTAATATTTTAGTGGTAATTATCGTTAACTGGAGGTATCCGATATTCGTAGTAACGAAAGTATCCGAAATATCAATTACTATTAAATATTTAAAATACATTTCCTTTGTTATAATTGAAACACATATACAAAATACGAATTTCTTTTTTAAGTGTGTGATTCAATTACAAACGATTCAAATACTTTCTAGCATTGTTCACATTGAATTGAAAACAATTATTAGTAACTTTGTAGGGAAAGAAAAAACAGAAATACCGATTGACCTAAAAAACAAGTTGGCTTATTTAAAAAGTAATAATTGTCCGTTTCGTACAATTTACAAGAATCAACGTTATTCCAGCAACCGCTTAGTGTAATTTACGAGTTTGAAATAAAACACGACTAATTTCCACTGTTTCTATGTATTTATGTAGGTACGCAAGTTAGGTGTGCCCGTGTGTTTTTGTAATGTCATCCTTGTAACATTTACAAGAAGATATAAATTTAAATAGCAAGAAAATAATGTCAAATTTTTCATCACCTCAAAATCAACTGTCTTTCTAAAGGCATCAGGCTCGGTCCTTGATGTTACTACAGATTTCCTTGCACAGCGAATAGCCACACATCGTCCCCGCCCATTTCATATTAATAATCAATCAATTACAAAATGACAACTCATGGCCGCGCATCAGCCTCATCCACTTTTCGCTATGCATTTTTTTTATTATACCAAGTGCCAAACGGGAACGGTAAGTGGGGATACTCACATTACTGCTTGGCGGCAAAAATAGGTGTGGTGGCAGTACTTCCCTGAACGACCTCTTTTACGAGGAACTCTATCCATGCACTGCTATGCACGCGTCTGAGGAGCCTCTTTCCTTGGTGCGCGGATGCGAGCTCGTGTGTGGTACTCGGTAAAAATATTAACCATGTGAGGTCGCCTTTATTCAAATGGCCGATCAAATGACAACCTGATTAAAGAATCATTTCACGAACGAGTTCGGAAAACAAATAGGCGTGAACGTCAAACTTTCTCAATATTATTAAAGTCGACAGTATTTAATGACAGTTTGTTACATTCGGATGAATACTTCTCCTAAAGAAATAGAAATCAACACTCTATAATTTATTTCGTTTATAAAATAAACAAACCAGTACCAACTACTTTATTATATTTTAATGACCGTCACTGAATTCAGTGAACCGTTCAAAATCAAGTTTGCATTTGCCGCACGTCTACCGCAAATATGTACGTGAAGGACCTTGGATGTGCTACGTTTGACTCCATAGCTGTGTGGGTAGCCCATTTGCATGTTGATAATATTCAATTTCTGCTTTCATTTTTTATGCCGAGCATGTATAGTCGAATGCCTTTTTCCACTTTTACAATTTCCTAGTGCACACCTGTTTTTTTTTAATATTTATAAGGCAAGCTGATTGACGTGTGTCACGACAATGTTTTGCTTTGAAATTGGACGTTTTGGAATTTTTAAACGGTATGAGTAGAGTTCTTCGAATTTGATACCTACTTATTGCTTTAAATGCTTCGCGTGATTAAATTTGTATATCAAAGGTCATGATAGTGTTTAGTTTATAGACGGGACGCTTAAGAGCGCTGCCACACGGATGTTGCGTCGGCCATGCAACGCTATGATTTCAACGCACCGAGCGCCAAACGAGCGATGCGGTGTCGCAACTTATCGCCGCTTACTTTCGCACCGCAACACCCCTCTCCATTTCATTCGACATCTGTCCGAAACAATTACAGTCAAATTAGTTAGTCGACCAAAATAAAAGATGCATGATGAAGCTTCATACTTGACAATGTCTTCTGGTATGATTGAATATTACTTATTTTACAGTAAGGGCGCGTTTATT